CATGAGGCTACATCCTATATTGACTGCGTTTCTGTGCAGCTGGGTCCGGTACACAGCAGACCGACATTGAGTGGAGAGGAATACCGCGATGCTGGGTAAGGTATTAGATGAAGGGTTTAGGGTTTAGGGTTTAGGGTTTAGGGTTTAGAATGTAGGGTTTAGAGTAACGTTGCTGAAGGGTTTGATTGCTGTTTACTCTTCCCCGTTCTTAACCACAGGTTGCTTAGGGTTTAGGGTTTAGGGTTTAGGGTTTAGTATGATGCAGATCAGAGTGGCACGAGGAAAGCAAGAGAAGCGTATGTTAGTGATGCATAAGAACGACAGAAAAAAGCAGCAACAGAAGAGAGTGAAGTTTCTGCTGCTGCTGCTTTTGAAAATGTTTGCTGCTGCTGTTCAGCTCAAAGGGAGATTGGTTTTGTTGTTTGGTGGCGGCGGGGGATTCTGTTTCTGTCTCTAGGGCAATAGCAGGCAAGTCGAGAAAGCAGCACAGACCTAGATTTGTTTATTATATATATATATATATATATATATANAGCACAGACCTATATTTGTTTATTATATATATATATATATATATATATATATATATATATATATATATATATATATTATTTTTATTTGGGTTTATTGGTGTTTGTTTCTTTGAAATTTGGTGGGGTTGCTGGTTGCTGCTGTGTACAGAAGACCCTACGCTCGTGCAGGCGACCGGCGAGGGAGGAATGACGGCGCTGCATTTTGCTGCAGATAGGTGCGTTGATACAAAAATAAATAAAAAGAGAAATAAAATAAAATAAAATAAAATAAGATAGAAAAAGGTAAAAGGAAAGGTAGAAATACAAAAAGAGATAGAAGGATATACAGGAAACGATAAGAGAAACGATAGAAGCAGAAAAAAGAGGAAACATAAAAAGAAAAAAGAAAAGATAAAATAAAAGAGTAGAGATAGAATGTTATAAGAAGAAATAAAAAAGAAAAAAACAGAAGGAGAAAGCAACAGAAACACGCAGAAGGAGAAAGTAAACAAACACACATTAGACACATATATACAAAACAGAAAAAAGAAGATACATAAAGGCAGTCCTCTCGCTCCTCACCGCAGCACTATCTGAGGTGTATGAAACAAAGAAAAACGCTAACAGTGAAGATGTTGTTGCTGTCTGTACACTCAAAAAGATATTAGATGCAGTAAAGAAGAAGAAGAAGCAGCCTAGGCAGAACAATACTAACAACACTAATAATGTAGTAATATGAAGAGGAAACAAAAGAAGCACGACAAGCAAAACAACAACAGCAACAACAAAAATAATAATAATAAAATAATAATAAAATACTAATAAAATAATAATAAAATAATAATAATAAAAAAAGAAGAAAAAGATGAAGTTCATATACAGGGGCCTGTTCTGTGCGCAGGGGCTATACAGATATCGCCAGGTTGCTTCTTGCACGGGGTGAGGATCAATGCTGCAACTAAAGCTATATATTTATTATTTTTTTTTTATTTTTATATTTATTATTATTATTATGTTGTTTTGTTTTTGTTTTTGTTGCTTTTTGTTGTTTCGTGTTGCTGGTTTCGTTGTATTTCCTCTTTGGTTTTGGCTGTCTAAAGAAGTGTAAAAACAAACAAATTCTGCTGCAGCTCAGGTGTATGCACGACGGCTTGAACCGAGAACAAGTAAAAAAACTAGGGAGAATGTCTCGGGTCTAGGGTTTAGGGTTTAGGGTTTAGGGTTTATGAGGGTTTGGCTGCTCAGGTGCTGAGGTGAATATACAGGACGAATGCGGGGAGACGGCGTTGCATGTAGCGATAGCAGCAGAAAAGCAGCAATTGATATCTCTGCTGTTGGAGGCTGGAGCTGACACTTCCATTAAAAACAATGAAGGAACAAGTTGTGCTGAGCTGCTGAATGCAGAAGAAAACGCAGCGTGAAACGAGCTGTATATACACCCCAAATTTTCTCTAGGGATCAACTAACTCCACTTCTCTGTCGATTTTTTAAATAATATTATGTTTATTTAGAGCTGGGCGAGGAGGATTGAGGGACGGGGGGATGTAACACAGATTGTTAGGGTTTAGGGTTTAGGGTTTAGGGTTTGAGGGTTTAGGGTTTAGGGTTTAGAGCGCTCAGTTACTGAGATAGACAGACTAGGAGTTATTTACATCAATTGAAATGCTGCAGCTGAACAAACACAAATGCTGCAGCACTGAAGAAGAATACGAGGATATGGTGTTCTCTAGGGTTTAAGTTTTAGGGTTTAGGGTTTTTTGCGATCCCGCAGTGTTTTGAGCATCAGCTTCAGCAAACTACCCTACAGCTAGCAACACCGCACCCCCTGCATGCATGCATGCATGCATGCATGCAGCGCCGAAGACATTAACTGTATGGATGCAGTACAGAAACCCTCCATCCGCATGCATACAATGCATGCAGTGCATACAGTGCATGCATGCATAGAATACAGAGGCTATTAACCTCATGCATGCAGTAAACTCATGCCTTTCTCAGGGTTTTGTTTGGGGGGTGTTGCGTTTATATATTTTATGTTTTGCATTGAGCGAGAGAACAAAACTTTGAGTTTAGTTGCCGCCTTCGTTCTGCTGCAGCATTGAGCTCATCGTGAGAGCGGGGTATCGGCTGTGAAGCGGTGTGGGTGTGAAGCAGCAGAAAGTAGCAGCGCAAGGGTTGCTGCTGACTGGCTTTGTTTTGTTTGTCTTTCTATGTGTATAGAATATATATTATT